TAAATCAAATAAAATATCCCACCAAAACCAGACTCCAATGACAACTGTCCACCAGAAATATTTAAATTACTGTTTACAAAGTTGTAAAGCGGGCAATAAGTGGAACGACAGGCTGTTACAGCGTGCCACGTGTCACCAACCCATCTGACCTTCTCAACACATCGACAGCACCCCTACGCACAAACTCAAAAGTGCCATCACCAATCTTCCACCCTCCAATCTCGCCACTCCGTTTTCGTCCGTATCGTCGGCCGTCGAATCAGCGGATTCGTCCGTGGGTCCATCGGCTTCCGGTGACTTAGCTTCGTCATCGGAAGAAGCCGCCGCGTGTTTATGCTTCTTCCCTGGAGCCTTCTTAGGCGCCGGCGCCTCATCCTCCTCCGGCGCAGTCTTGAATAACTCCCTCGGTAACAAAACCTTGTTGATCTTGAAGACGATTAACGGCTCCTCATCCTTCAACGTTCCCAATATCTTGGCCGTCACAACCTTGGTCTTCAACATCACGTCCTCGCCGTCGTTTTGCACGGTGAAGTCAAACTTGCTGGCGCCGTCGGTTGCCAGGGTGTTTATGATTCCGTTACTCGACCTCAGTGTCTGCAGAGACTGGTAAACGGGAACGCCGTGATACAAGAGTAAAGCCACCTTATGGGGACCCGTCAAGTTCTTGTATCTGGGCATGAAACTGTCTAGAACCTCGTCGGTGGGACAGAACACCGTTAGTCCTCCGTCAACGTTTTCCTGGAAAGTCGTGTCGGCTCCGGTGTCAATCAACAAATTGGCGAAGGTTTTGCAGCCTTGTTTCAGCATGATGGCTGTCGCGTTCACATCGCTTGGCCCTCCTGTCGGCGCCTCGGCTTCAGGCGAACTCAGGGACTGATAACCACATGCCCAAATTTTAAACAGACAACATCTAGGGATCTTTAATGCATAATTATTAACAAATTTTCATTTTTATAATAATAAAAGTTGATATTAATTTCTTTGTTTTTTTATATAACAACCATCATTTTCTAAATTGACTAATTCTTGAAAAATGTTATACCTTCATGAACTTTTTTTGTTGTCTTTTTAAATTTCGCAGCTGATTATTTAAATTCTTAAAGTTTATCATTTATTTTTCTGATGTAAAAAGTCGGTGTATATAGTTATTGTCGATTTTAAATTCTTCAGGAAACTTTAACTACTGAAAGACACGCTCAACATATTTCAGATCCAGAACCAAGAAAACTGATTAAATCTATCACAATCATCAGTAATCCCTTTTAATAGCATATCAAAATAATTTTCCATTTCAAAGATCTTATTCAAACCACCAGAAACGTCGAATAATCGACTTATACCGGCTGAAGTTTTTTATTTATAAAAATTAATTACCAAGTTAAACTATTAAATGCAGAGCGTATATAATTTGAAACAGAAGAAGAAATTAATAATGAATCCATATGAATCAGTACCTGACTGATCTGTAGTACGGAAATGTTGTAAGGCATCTCAACCAAAGACTTGACAAAGAGAGAATCGAGCTTCCCATTGTTATCTTCAGCACCGAAAGCCACTCTCCCACCTTTAAGGTCAGTGATATTGATGTAGCCTGAGGTTCCGGAAGCGGAGCCGGTAGCCTGGAACAAAGTGGAAGTCAGGGTGCTGCCGCCGCTGATCTGATGCAGCTTCCTAGCGCCGAAGTAGTCGGCCACAACATGGAGAGAGAGAATGTTACGTAGAGTGTAGATTGAGTACTGCTTCGCCAGGAGGAGCGACATTGCAGAATTGTCCAAAGCAAGGACTGTGATGGTCAACCGCCGATTGATCTCGGAGGCTAGGTGCGTCGCCGTCAGGTAGTGGTTGAATGTTGAGAACTGAGGGTGTTTGGCGAGTATGCGCGTGATGTTATGCGCGCTGACGGAGGGAGAGAAGACGAGGAGGAAGAGAGAGAGCGCGAGGATGGTGAGTGGCGGCGCGTGGCGCATCTTTGTTTTGTCGGTGGGGGTTGGTTTCTGTGTGTATTTTGTTATTGGGTAGTGGAAGGATAACGTGAAGGCCTAAAATGGGAGTGACTGAGTGAGGAGTAGATTGGGGGGGGGGGTGTGTGAATATATATTGACTGATTCAATGCCAGCTTGGCAGTGGGTACGAAGGGGCCCCACATCCTTGAAGTGGGTCCCAAATGATACCGTTCTTTTTCTCTATCGAGGGACCCACACCAATGCCCTAATGATATGGCTAATGACCCAAAAATGGAGAAGTTTAGTTTTAACCTTTCGTTAATTAAGGTTTGCTGTATATTTTAATGTGTGATAAAATTTAAAATGATCTCTGTACGAACTATTCATCTAAAACGAATCGTTTTATTGGATTAAAATTTATAATTTAGTAGACATGTTTTACGGGTACATAACATGTGCGAAGAAGCTATGGATACTCTTTGGAGAAATAATTGTTCCAATTTTTTCTTAGAATAATTATATCTGTCGGTAGCTTCTTTTTTAATTATTAAAAATAATATGAAGCTCATCTATTTCTTGACAATTTAATCTATATTTGATATTTTTTGGGTAATTAATTAAGAGTAATAATAATTTAATGGAGAAATAAGAGTCTACATCAACGTCTAAAGTTGGCTAGCTGGGAGTTTGTAGATGGAATCAAGCAAAGGTTTGTCTGTATCAGCACCACCGACAGAAAGAATGGACCGGGCCCTTAATTTTCTCTAATCAATATAATATATTTATGTGTTGATTATGGACCTTTGGGAGCCTAATCACCAGGCCACCACCGCACCCACCTCTCCAATTATACAAGTTGACCCCCCGCCCCCCCCAAATCTATGGTGAAACTATAAATTGCACGGTGTAAATTTAATTCTTAATGTTATTATATATAATAATAATTAATCAAATTTATTATATAGAGAGAAAGCAACAGGTTTCCTGTCATTTAAAAACAAAAATTATTAATGTAATTTTTGTATAAGAGGACAAGATAAACCGGGCCCGTATATATATATATATATAGTTTATTCCCTTCAACAATATGCACATAATGTATCCTCCATTTTATTATTAATTTATCACAAATTATTGTTTGTTGGTCCAAAGTAATTAATTTAAAAGTGTTGTAATTAAGAGAGTGAGTAAAAAAAATGAAGGTAGAAAATTTTTGTAATTGGAGATTAGGGGGTATGGGGTCCACGAATTGTCGGTAGCCACCTGTACAGAAGGACAGCTAGAGTGGATGTTAAGATGCCGAATCAGGTAAGGCCACGTGAACAGCGGTGCTAAGAGTATTCCACGTCGGCAGCAATCATCCCCATTCTTTTATTGTTCGATGACGGTTACAACTTTGCTTTCGCACAAGGCCTCTGTTTGTATGATTCAGGGTGTCCGTGTGTGATTTGATACCCCCACGGTTTTACGGATGTTTGCTACATTAGCAACCTGTAACATATCAGGTATCCGAGACACACTGGGCTGCCCTTTAATTACAAAATAAAAATTCTAAGGTTGGCTGAGTAATTATCGTATAATTATTTAACATTTGGTTTAATTATTGATTATTAATATTTCTAAATTAAGGATAAAAAAATAAAATTTAATAAATAATTTGAAAAAAAAAAGTGAAATTAAGAATTATCGTAAAAAAAAAATACAAAATAAATAGAATATTGGTTATTTATGACAATGAGAGTTGTTGGAAAAATGATTTATGAATGTATCGGTTCTACAAAACTGATGTGTTTATTTGGGCCCGTTTTATACAATTGTAACTATAAAGTTAGTGGCCTATTTTTCCTTCCTTTCATTATTAGATGTTCTCTCTTGTGTATATACACACACAAATATATATCAAAATTTCATTTATTCTCAAATTACGTACTTTTTTTATTTATTTATATTTTGCATGGCAATGGGAAATAATTTTTACAAGGAAATATATAGATTGTTACAACCTCCAAAGTAGAAAAGGAGAGCAAACTCAAATAGATCATAACAACTTAAAAGCAATTTGGTTCTCTCAGATTAAAGACGCATTTTTTTTGGAAACTTCATCAAGTCCTCATAAAATACTTAATTTTTAAAATTTATAAATGAGAAATTAATACATAATAAATTCTTATAGAAGAAATTACAGGTGATTGAGATTTATATCCTCTAACTCAAATTTAAAAATAAATTAAAAACACGGATTAAGTTGGTGCGTGGCTCAGCTCTCAAAGTGATGTGGGGGGGGAAACTGCGCTTAACGACCAGCTGACATTTGTTTGTTGTTGAAGTACACCACAAAACAAAAGTAAACAAAAAAAAGAAGAAAAATACACGCATTTCTTTGCTAAAGATTCTACATACATTCTCACCAAACCCAGATCTTCTATCATCAAATTTAAATAAGAAGCAATTATCTGCTCTTGATTGGAAACATGACAAGAAAAAAAGAGGAAATGGTGAATGAAATGGACTGTTTCCCCAATTTAGAAGGAAGGAAGGCAGTCAGTCAGTCAGTCAGTCAGTCAGACATATGGCAAAGATCTGGTTTTAGAGTAGTGAGAAGACAGTTTCCCTTAAAAATAGAAACATGTCCAAACAAACAAACACCCCCTTTCCCCCCATCTGTGTCAGAACTCAACCGTCAACTAACTGTCACTTCTTCTTCAACTCTTTCTTTACCCAAAACACATTCCATTTTCACTTTTACTTTATACAATACACAAATTACTTTTATCCCTTCCAAATTTCAAACATCTTTTAAGACTCTCAACAAAGTTAATTCTCATTAAATATTTTATATAATTACCAACCCCCCCACATTTAAAAATTAATTACTGCTGCTAAAAGAAGCGAACAGCAAGAGTATGTGACAAGTACTTTTAGAGACCCATCCAAGGTTGAAGCACCCACCTACCTACATTGACCTAACAGCGCCACTAGCGCTAGCTGAACCGACGCCGGCCCCACTCTTCGTCACGCCTATCTCAACATGATGATGATGATGGAACCCACCAGAGCCGTACACGTGTCCCTGATGATGCCCCATCATCACCATTCCTCCGTACATGCCCCCTCCCCCGTTATACCCGCCGCCGCCTCCTCCTACTCCTGAGCCGGGGCCACCACCCGACCCTGAACCGCCACCCGAAGGCCCGCCGGAACCAGAGCCGCCAGAGGGTCCCTCCTTGTCTGGTTGCCGGCCGAGGGAGGTCTTCTCGCCTTCCATCTCTCTGTACTTCTGAAGGTAGAGCTTGAGGGGGTCGACGTAGTCCTCGAATCCCAGCGTGGTCATGGCCCAGAGCAGATCGTCGCCGTTGATGGTCTTGCGTTTCTCGCGCTGGCACTTGTCGGAGGCCTCGCCGGTGATGAAGCTGATGAACTCAGACACGCACTCCTGAACCGTCTCCTTAGCGTCCTTGGAGATCTTGGCGTTGGCCGGCAATGCCTTCTTCATGATCCTGCTGACGTTGGCGATCGGCAGGAATCTGTCCTGCTCCCGCGCAGACAACTCTCCGCCGGCGCTGCTGTTGTTCTGCCCTCCTCCCGATTCATTGTCGGAGTCCGCCATCACCACCCCCGACTCCCGCACACTAAAAAAGAAAATCAGAAAACAAAAACCAAATTCCAAAATTAGCTTGCACCTCTTACTTAATTATCGGCGTTCGATGGTAACTGGATCAAGAAGGAGGGAGTATTGTGGGAAATTCGGGTTGGTCGGAGACCGGTGGAGAGCGTGGTGGTGTGGGGGGAGGCTGCAGAGAGGCGTGATGGGAAGGAAGGAAGGAAGGAAGGAAGGAGTAAGGAGGGAGGAGAGGAAGGCTGTTGGGGTCCGTTGGATCCACGGGCTAATAATACATCCTTCGCGACACGTGGTTAGGTCATGACCGTTTATTTGTCGATAAGAGGGGAATACGTGGAGTTGAGAATAGTCGTCGGATGGGATGTGGGGTCCTAACATCCGACGGCGAGTAGAAGGACACTTGATGGATGGGGTTAGAAGTTAGAATCTTCAGGCGGCTGCTGCGGCTTTTGTTTTTTGGCTTGGCTGGAGCTGTTAGCTACGGCTTATAATCCATATCCTATCGTATGGTTAGTTACACGTGGAATCGGTTGAACCATTGATGTCGCACGTGCAATATGTGAGATGAGGTTCGGCCTACGTATTACAGTGCCATGACACGGGCTTTTGGACAGACATGTCCTTTAAAAAAATTTAATAAATTACGAATGGCATAAAAAGATGATGAGTTTAAATAATTTTGCCGAGATAATTTTTAGATAACGATTGTAAGAAATAAATTTTTTTTTTAAAAAATATAATGTCTATTTAGTTTTTTAGAAAAAATAATAATTAATTTTTTAATACTTTAAAATATGCGAAAATTTTAAAGAAAATTAGTGAATTAAGCAGGTTCTTTATTCAGAAAAAAAAAAAGAAAAGTGAACGACAGGGTAGTATGATTTGCCTTTCCAACTATGCCTGAGAATATATGATTTATTTATACATAAAGATTTTTTTTTCAAAAAAAAAAAAAAAGCGGAGCGAACTTGTTTGAAGACAGTTTCTTGTTTTGTAAGTATAATTATATGTCATTATATATATATATATGCGTGTGCGTGTGCGTGTGCGTGTGCGTGTGTGTGTGTGTGGGTGTGTGAGAATATATATATATATATATATGTATATGTATATATACATACATATAAATGCAGACTGCAGCCTGGTTACATACAATGTGGGCATAGGATTCGTGCGGAGGAAGATGGTGCATATCTGCATCCTCTTAGAATAGCGGCATGGGTTTAAGTGGATATACGTATATGTGAATGTCAGTTTTACATGTAGTATGGGGACAATTAATTTCAGGTGATCGAATAAAATTATTTTTTAATATAAAATAATTTGTATAAGATAAAAACTGAAATAGAATAGAAATCAATATTAACTTTATAAATACTAAAAAAAAAACATAACCATTAAATTAAAGTGTCTTAAAAAATTGTTAAAGTTGAGTGTAGGTTCAAATAAAAAATATATATATATATATATATATTTTGGAATAAAATGATTTTTAAAATAAATTATATAAACTAATATTATGATAATTAAAATTACTTGATTTCAAAGTAAATTACACAGAAATGTATGGCAAGAGGAACTAAATAAGAGGAGGAAAAAAAAAGGTATAAAGTCTAGCTTTTTAGTAAAGTATCAGCTTGGAATTAAAAAGAAATATATTTAATATTGATTTATCTTTAGTTTTGTGATACAATTTAGATTTAATTGAATTGAAGGTAACATGTTTTAAACCCTAACTTTAACTAGAATGGAGTGAATTGCACAACATTACAATACGATAGTTGAGTTGATGAAAAAAATTGTTAAGGAGGGTGAACATATCAAATCTTATGGAAACCAGTATATGTAACATATATATATATATATATCTTCTAATGTGATGCCTCTTTTATTTTGATCTTCCATTCATCTTTTGCTGCATACTGTTGATCTTACATATATCATGATCAAATCCATGGCCATGGCTAGGAGATCAACAGTGAGTCTCACTCACATCATATATAAGTCCAAATACAAAATAGTAGAATCAAATTACTTCCTCTTGAATAGTCTCCATATTAACAGTAATTTTAGTGTTTGTTAAGATATTTTATTTGTTATAGATTTTTATGGTATTACTTTGATTGTTTCTAAGTTTTAGCACTTTCGTTTATGTTAGTGGAGTATTGCTTTCTGTTTTATAGGAATTATGGTTTAGTTGTTATTGTTTGTAAAGCATATTTATAAGGCTTATTCGTATCAATTTTGTAACACCACAAAACTATTTTTATTTTTGTACTGGAATTTTTTTTTGGATTTTATTTTATTTTTTTAATAGTTAATTTATTTTGTAATAATTATATGTTTAATTTAATTTAATAGAAAAAAATAAAAATAATGATAAAATTATGTAAAATTATTTTTGGGAGTTAATTGAAAATGATTTTCGAAAAAATGGGTAAAAATTTGGATTCTGGAGATGTTTTTGAAAAGAAAATCGAAAACCGGTAGTCAAAATATAATTTAAAAAAGATATACCACGTCAGCAACCCGGTCAGCAGCCCCAGCCAACCAGGATACGTCGCGTGGAAAGAACGCTGACGTGGGAAGCCACGCGGGACGGGGCCACGTGAGTGATCCGCGTGCACGCGATCAGACGGCTCAGATCCGTTCCCGCGCGCATGGACGACCTAGATCTCACACGTGCAGACAGTCCAGATTGAATCACGCACGGACGACCCAGATCGCATCGCGATGGACGGTCCTAATTTATTCCTATTTTAATCGCGATCGAACGACCCAAATTAAAACGTGATGGACGGTTGAGATTAAAAGGGGAAGGTTATAAATAACCTCACCCCCACCCAGCCCCAAACCCTAGCCGCCAGTACCCTCGCCGAAGAAAATAACCCAGTCACCGGAGGAACCGGCTGTCGCCACCCACCGCCGCACTGGAGGAATTTTCGACTGCCAAACGAGGTAAAATTTCTCCTCTTGGCTCGTTTTTTGATGCTAAATCCACCTATGGCCAAATCGGAGCCAAACCACCAGCCAATCGGCCGAAAAACACTGCCGAAGCCCAGCGGGGCCGCCGCGACTTCCCTCGATTTTTGCCTCCGATGAGGCCCTTCCTGGTTCCCGTTCGATACAATTTTTACACCACTGTGATCACCGTCCTTTTCTCTACAGGTTGACCGGAGTAAAACATCGAATCACGACTCGCACCAGAGAAGCCGCCGCACTTGAGAGCTCCGCCGCCGGTAAGTCTCGATTTTTCGTGATTTTTTGGCCCATCGAGGGCCCTAGGGTTGTTTTATCGAAGAAACCAATGCAAGTTTGGTCAAATTCGGCCTAAAACGTTCGAAAACGGCCAACCCGAAGCATATCGCAGCAGCGAGCGGCAGCGCCGTCGTCGGAGCACGGCGGAACCGCCATGCCGGAGTTCTGAAAATGATTTAGTAGGCCTTGGGACTGTTTTTGAATTTTTTCCGGATATGTGTAGGTACCGGAAGTGTATTTTGGTTCCCGGGGAAAGAAATTCATGGAATCTAGGGACAGCTCGTAGGCGCAGTGAGAACCCGATTTCAGACTCCGAAACAAGTAAGGATTTCTCACCCTATTTTCTATCACGGTATTAAAGCTCAATAAATGAATAAACAGTATTTTATGATTTGTGTATAATTAATTAAAGTTGCTAATGAAGCCCGAATCTGATGTATTTTTCGGTCAGTTATTGTTGATCTATTTTATAGTTTTAAATGCAGTATAGTATTTGATATGTTTATTCTATAGTTTCGTTTATTATGATTTGAATTATTGTGAACCCGTTGTTGTCTTGTTTGGTATTCATGACTGGTTTACGTGTTTATGTTTGATTGAATAATTGAGACCAAAGAAAATGAAAAAATGTATGTGAATTGATAAATAGATGATGTCGACAGCCTAACTAGCTATCCTGGAAGATAGTGGACGAACCGGGTTTGTAGGAAACCCTATCGAGAACATTGTCTCTCATATCGGACAGGGTATGGAGACCTTATGTGTTTTGGCGCCCATACCGGATGAGGTATGGGACGACCCGTTTCACTCTCATACTGGACGAGGTATGGGGACGGCCCTGGAATCAAGTTATTAATGTGAATAGTTCACGTGTAGCGGGGACCCCCTATGGATCCCCATGGATACTAGTAGGTTGATAAAATAGGAAAATTTTTGTCTGATGATTGATAAATGAGAGTTTAATATGTGTTATGTTATAAAGTGTACATGATTTTATGATGTTTATGAGTTAATTATTTTAATAAATTGTTTTTATGAATATCACCGAGGTAAGTAGACAGTAAAAGTTTTTATTATTGATAAATGAGTTTGCTATAAATTATACTCAATTGGTCGTTTTTTTTGTTTTATACCAATCTTTACTCCTACGGTAGTGAAATAGTATGATGTCTTTACTGGACTAGTGTAGCTCATTCATTACTTAACCATTTTAGATCAGGAGGACTTGGTTCCCGAGCCTGTCCTGCATGAAGACGGCGAGTAGATGACTAAGGATTTCATAGATTTATTTATAGCATTCATTACTACTGTTTACTTCAGTTAGTTTATTCTTTTATACGTTTAATACGTTTTAGTTATTGTGTAAGGGATATTAATCAGAATTTTTATTTTGCTTCCGCACTTAGAAATTTTAATACATACATTTTCTTTAAATTTTCGGGGCCGTTATAAATTTCCAGAGTAGTTTTTCAAGTTCAACTATTATCTTCTTTAATTTTACTTTATCAGTTCTATCTCTGTAATTTTAAAAGTTTACCTGACAGTGATATCAGAGCCACAAGTTTCTGATTCGTATAAGAAAAGTAGTAACTTTCTTTTGTATTATCAGATTGTTATCAATGGCATCTGAAAACTTTGTATAACCTGCAATTCCTTGTTTCGATGGTCATTATGATCAATAGAGCATACTGATGGAAAATTTTCTCAGATCAAAGGAGTATTGGCAAGTCGTTTCAGAAGGGATACCAGAACCAACAAGTGGAACAACTGTGTCTGAAGCACAGAAAACAGAAAATGAAAGACTAAAGTTGATGGATCTGAAAGCAAAGAATTACTTATTTTAGGCTATTGATCTTTCAGTCTTAGAGACCATCTTATGCAAAGATAACGCCAAGCAAATTTGAGATTCAATAAAAAAATAAATATCAAGGTTTAGCAAAAGTTAAGCGTGCATAGCTTCAAACCCTGAGACAGGGTTTTGAGACTTTATAAATGAAGGATGAAGAGTCTATTATAAATTATTTTGCAAGAACCAAGGAGATAAGTAATGAAATGTGGTTTCATGGTGAAAAAACCATTGTAGAGAAAGTCTTGCGTTCACTAACACCAAACTTCGATTATGTGGTTTGCTCAATTAAGGAATCTAAAGATATAGATGCACTCTCTCTTGATGAATTACAAAGCTCCTTGCTTGTGCATGAACATAAAATGAATCGCAATTCAACTACAAAGGAGCAAGCTTTAAAGACTTCTACTTTTAATCATTCCTCAAATTTTAAAGGAAGAGGCAAAGGAAGAAGAAGGGGAGATCGAGACAACAAAAATAGCAGCAAGAATTCCAAAGCTGATGATGAACAACCTCGAAACAAAGGAAGAGGACAGGGTCAGCATTTTGACAAATCCAAAATTGAGTGCTATACGTGTCATAAATTTGGTCACTATTGATCCGAATGTTACACCAAGATGCCCAATGACAAAGAGAAGGGGAAGAAATCAAATTTATAAAAAAATCAAGAAACTGAGACTTTATTGATGACTGTTCAAATTAACGAGGAACCTGTCTTTGAAGTTTGGTATGTGGATACGGGCTGCAACAATCACATGTGTGGTAGTAAGTCTAATTTTTTCTCATTTAAATGAAAGCTTTCATTCAACTGTCAGTTTTGGTGACTGTTCTAAAATATATAAAATGGAAAAAATGTGATGTTAACATTAACACCAAGAATGGCTTTGTGGAGACTATTTTTAATGTGTTATATGTTCCTGACTTGAAAAGCAATTTGTTAAGTATTGGTCAATTATAAGAAAAATATTATATTATAACCATTCAAAATGGAGCTTATGAAATTTATGATCCTGCAAAGGGTGCTATTGCTATTATTTAAATGAGTGCAAACAGGTTGTTCCCATTAAAAATACAAGTTGTTCAAACTTGTTTGATGGTTGAAGTGAAGAATTCTTCATGGCTTTGGCATTTTCGATATGGCCACTTGAATTTTAGTGGATTAAATACTCTCCATTAAAAGGATATGGTGATGGGTCTTTCTCTACTTGCCATTCCTTCTCAAGTTTGTGAAAAATACGTTGTTAACAAGCAACACCGTAATCCATTTCTACAAGAGAAGTCATGGAGAGCAAAAAGTGTGTTGGAGCTGGTTCACTTTGATATTTACAGGCCCCTCAATCTGACATCTAGTGATGGTAAACGTTATTTTATAACGTTCATTGATGATTATACTTGAAAAATCTAGGTGTATTTCTTACAGGACAAATCTAAAACTTGTGAAGCTTTTAAAAGCTTTAAAGCACTTGTTGAGAATGAGGTTGACAATGCTATAAAAGGTTTTCATTCAAATTTTCAAATTGTGGAGGAGAATAAAACTCACATAAATTTGTAAATTTCTATGAGGTTCATGGAATAAGGAGATAATTTGCAGCAGCCTATTCACCCCAGCAAAATGGAGTTTGTAAGAGGAAAAATCGCATTATCATGAATATGGTGCGAAGTCTATTAAGTAGCAGTAGTGTTCCAAAAAGTTTTTTGGTATGAAGTAGTTAGTTGGAGTATTCATATTTTGAACGGAAGTCCCACATTTACAGTGCAAAGCATGACTCTAAGGAAGCATGGAGTGGAAAATGACTAACTATAGATCATTTTTAGAATATTTGGGTGTATTACATAGACCCATATTCCACATAAGAAGAGAAGGAAGCTAGATGACAAGGGAGATAAATGCATTTTTCTTGATGTTAGTAATCAATTAAAGACTTATAATCCTAGTACTAAGAAAATTCTGATCAGTTGCGACGTTATTTTTTATGAGAATCAGTTCTGATCATGGGACAAAATTGCTTTTGAAAAATAAATTCCAACCAGCTTTGATGAAAAAAATGGTGTAGAAATATATCATCCCCCACAACAGCATGTTTCAGCATATATTGCCTTTGAAAATGCCCAAAATGAACCAGTTATGGATGAGCAAAATGAAATAATAGCTGAGTTATGTTCTCAGTTGCTCGAAGAAGGCCAACTGACAGATTATGAGGTACCTAGAATTGATCAATCTGAAGATCCTCTCACCCATTTTGCATTATTTGCAGATTATGATCCCCTTATATTTCAAGAAGCTGTAAAAGATTCAAAATGGCAAAATGCCATGGATGAGGAGATGAGATTCATAGAGAAAAACAATACATGGGAATTGGTAGAGCTTCTAAATGGGAACAAATCCATCGGAGTAAAATAAATTTACAAAATAAAGCTAAACAAGGATGGCAGCATAGACAGTACAAGTGCAACTTGTTATGAATGGGTATCAACAAGAATTCGGAGTTGATTACAAGGAGGTATTTGCTCTAGTTGCGAGTATGGATACAATTCGTTTGGTGATGTCCATGGCTGCCCAGAATTCCTGGTCCATTTATCAATTAGACATGAAATCGGCTTTCTTACATTGTGAGCTGTTGACCAGCCCCTTTGATATGTGAAGAAAGGTAGAGTAGAAAAGGTATACAAATTAAAAAAGG